CCTCCCACTTTTACCAAATATGATCTCCTCCTCCAGTGATTGGCCTCTCTTGATGATGTGTCCAAAGCAAATGAGTTGAAGTCTCCAATGATACTCTCTGATCCATAGGGTTTTCATTGACTAACTTTAGATCACCAGGCTTCTCTTCCTAGTCTTAGTCTGGAAACTCCTCTGAAGCCTGTGCTTCATGGGTGACCCTTCTGATATTTGAAATAGACTGCTGGTATATAGTTAGCAGCAGCATAGCAACTTGCAGACCACCTCAAGTATTTTTGCCTAAAAATGGATTAGGTAAACAGTGGGAATTTAATATGAAGAATAGATTACTTCTCCCCACAATTCTAAACTGTCTTTTACCTATTTTTAACTTTAACTGTTACCTGCCAAAGATCTTGCCTTACAAGCATACCTTGGAGATATTGTGGGTTTAGTTCTAGACCACCTTAATAAAGTGAGTATCACAATAAAGCAAGTCTCATAATTTTTTCCCCCCCTCCGGTATGTGGAAAATTTATGCTAACACTATACTCTAGCTTATTAAGTATGCCGTAGACTTATGAAAACACTTGAAATATTGTGAACATTGTTGCAAAAAAAACAGTATCTGCAAAGTGAAATAAAAGCAAAGTTCAATAAAGCAAGGTATGCTTGTATTTGCTTCCTGCTCTTTACTAGCTAAGTGCTATCCCATGTATCATTGAAATAACATGCCCTGCAGTTCTGCTGAAATACAGCAAGGATTTTAAAAGAGAAATGTGATCTCAGATGAAGTCAGGCAAAAGTCCAGCTTTTTATATCCCAGGCTTGCTTAAATTCCGCTGTAGAAATGCGTGAGTTGTCTGTTTCCCACGATTCTGCTATTTCTTTGTATGATATTGGGCTTTCCTATCTGGATGTGGCTAGGAGATGAAGGCTCTAAGGTACCAGAATGATGATAATGAACTAGTATGAGTTCTACTAAAAATAATAAAAGCCAAATCCATTGCTGTCACGTTCATTCTGACTCTTGTTAAGTGCTGTCAAGTCGATTCCGACCCATAGCAACCCTGTATAGGGTTTCCAAGGAGCAGCTGGTGAGCTTGAACCACCGACCTTGCGGTTCAAACGGCTTTGCAGTCTGGCGCATTAACACACAGCGTCACACCAGGACTCCTGAATCTTAGTGACTCTATATTAACGGTTAGAACTGCCCCCATGGGTTCCCAGTGCTTTAAATCTTTAGGAGAGCAGCTTCCGGACCTCTCTCCTGGAAAGTAGCTGGTTGTTTTGAACTGCTGATCTTTTTGGTCAGAAGCTGAGTGCTTTAATCACAGCACAACCAGGGCTCCTTGTGTTCAACTACTCATTCTAATTTGCCATCACTTTAGTTTTAAGGATTTTGTTAAACCAACAGTTCACCACTCCTCACCCCCCCCAGATGATGGATTCTTAGAATAACAGTACCTAATCAGAACTTCTTTTAGAGAAGGGACAGAGAAAGATCATGCTAAACTTGGAATTTTTATGGATTCACACTTGGATTTGGAGGAATTTACATCTGACATTAATTGCTTATACCTGATACTGCCTTAATCATAAATATTATAATATAGAGGGATATTGTCAATGCCAACAGAATGTTGTCGTTAAATACTTTGATATGTAATTGAGGTTTTCTTCAGGTATAGAACAAGTTGACTATAACTTGTCAGACTCCTAGGATATTTCGTCTGGGACCCATCCAATAAGAAAATGGATATAATGAGACCCAAGGTGGTTGGAGTTCATGATGATGATGAACATTATGCATGGCAGAAGTACTTCTAGGTCATTAAAGAAATATGTTCAATAGGATTTAATATATTTCGCCACCTTGCATCCAGCTCTGATCATAATCTGGGCGCCTTTGATTCATCAATGTGGGTAACTTCCACCTACATTATCCATTTGCTTTGGTGATCATGGGTAACTTACTTCCACCTACATTATCCATTTGCTTTGGTGATCATGGGTAACTTATTTCCACCTACATTATCCATTTGCTTTGGTGATCATGGGTAACTTACTTCCACCTACATTATCCATTTGCTTTGGTGATCATGGGTAACTTACTTCCACTTACATTATTCATTTGCTTTGGTGATCATGGGTAACTTACTTCCACCTACATTATCCATTTGCTTTGGTGATCAAATCCTAGCCCTTGTCTTCTCCTGGAACAGCTTCTCCCGTGCTGAAACCACAGTGTCTTCATATATCTTTTCTGTTTTCTCTCAGTACTTGTCAGGACCTCCAGACCCCATAGTTCCTTTCTGCTGCCTGCCGTTCCTTTCCTAATCACTTGGCCCACATGGTCCATTGCATCAACTTGGCATTGTCCATATCCTCAGCTCCTATGCTCTCACTGTTTTCCTGGCACATCTGCCTTGAAACCCTGCAACCCTGTAGCATTTCAATTGGTCCTTTCTCCAACTGCCTAAATGGACCGTAGAAGAAAGTCTCACAGCTTACTAGTTTGCTACCTGAATTTCATAACCTACACTCTAAGTTTGAGTCCTGGTGTGGCGCTGTAGGGTAAGCACTGGATTGTTAATAAGGTTGGAAGTTAAAACCAACAGCTGTTCCTTGGAAGCCCTATATAGTGTCACTGTGAATCGGAACTGACTTGATGGCACTTAACAACTCTCAGTTGGGCTTTTACCAGCCCCAGAAATTCTTGGTTTGCTCTCCCTCTCCCCTCTTGCCCTATAAGACCTGGTTCATGTTGACTTCCCAGACCTCTCTGTTTGTTACCCTTCTTTCTCCCTGGCACACAGTATTTGTTAACTTTTTGGGGCTTTATTCAGCTTCTGAAAAGCGCAGACTTCTTTTCCTAAACATTCTATCCCCTTATATGAAACACTTTCCTGGACCCCCTGGTTCCCCAGTCTGCCCCCACATTTCACCTGATTATTTTTCTTGCAGTTTAAAGGGTAAAAGCCAGTCACTGTGGAATCAACTCTGACTCCTCGTGTTCCAGAGTAGAAATGCCCACCATGGGTTATTCACTGGTGGGTTTTTGGATGTAGATCTTCAGGTCTTTTCTTCTGAGGTGGCTCCGCTGAACTTGAACTTCTAACTGTATTGGTCGTGTCTTGCTTGCACCAACCAGGGACTCCAACATAATATATTAGGTACCAAAGAGTATGTCCAAATTCCCATTTGCTTCCTCCTTTTCTCCCATCAAAGTGTACTAAATACTTTCTTCGTTTTTCCTCACATCCTGTACTCTCCCACCTCAGTTATTCCCTATCACATTGCTTGTTTCTGTTTCTTGTTAAGAAACTTACGTCTGCTTCTTTGAGGGCAGGAACAATACCTGTTTTGTTCTTGGTTGTGTGCCTAGTATTGGTTTTTAGTATACTCTCAACATTTGATAAAACTTTTTTTGAATGATATAAGGAATTCATAAGGTAATCACTTTGTTAAGTGCTGTCGAGTCAGTTCTGACCCATAGTGACCCTGTATAGGGTTTTCAAGGAGCAGCTGGTAAACTAGTCACTAAGTGGTTATAACATAACTATAATAGCATCAACTTTTATTGAGATTTTACCATGTACTAATGATTGTTGTGGTGTAGCACTGTGGGTTAATGTGCTAGACTGCAAAGTCAGTTTGAACCACAGGATCAGCAGTTCAAGCTCACCAGCCGCTCCTAGGAAACTCTATACAGCATTGCTATGGGTTGGAACTGACTTGATGGCACTTAACAATGATTGTTCTAATAAATCTATAAGTATTAATTTCTGTCTTTCTCACAATAACCCTATTGTGTAGGTCCTCTGATTTTGCCAGTTCAGTGAATAATGAAAGTTTAGGGTTTGGGGCCACATTTTTAAATTGGAATCTCTCTTGCCTCTGCATGTGTGATCAGGACTTAGTTTAGGGTCTGACAATGGGGGTGGCTGAATTGGGCATGTTGTCTACTCCAGAGGTATTGTAGTTCAATGGAAGAGAGACAAAGGTGCAGTCGTTTCACTATGGATGGAGTGCAGCTGGTATGGAAAGATAGATTTCTCCATTAGTTCTTCCAAGGTTAATCATTTATATTTAATATATTCATAATTCAGTAACGCCATTCAATTAAGTAAAGCACATTATTTTCTAGCTATGCTAATCTTTGTTGTTATGTGCCGTCGAGTCGGTTCCGACCCATAGCAACCCTGTATAGGGTTTCTGAGGAGTGACTGGTGAGTTTGAACCACCGACCTTGCAGTTCAAGCGGCTTTGTAGTCTGGCACATTAACCTACAGCACCAGGTTCCAACTTGCAGCAACCCTTTGTAGTCTGGCACATTAACCTACACACCAGGTTCCAACTCACAGCAACCCTGACGGGGTTTCTGAGGAGTAGCTGGTGAGCTTGAACCACTGACTTACGGTTCAAACTGACTTTGCAGTCTAGCACATTAACCTACAGCACCACACCAGGACTCCATGCTAATGCTAAGAGGTGTCAAAAAGTTCATGCAACAGTTTCATTGTCTTTAAACTGCGTTTTTCCATAAATTTTTTTGAAGCCCCTTTGTATTTGATAATGTTGGTTAAAAGTGCTCTTGAGTCACTTCTGACTCCTAGTGATCTCTGTGTAGGGCTTCTGAGGGGCAGCTGGAGGGTTTAAACTGTTTACCTTTTGATTCGAAGTCTAGTGCTGATCCTACAGCACTACACTAGGAGTCTGTATTTGATATATACATAATTTAATTAAATACAACATTCTATTTTCTAATTATTCTACTATATTGTAACGTTATAAAGTAATTGAGTTTATTTACATTGTTAGGTAAAGTTTCTTGAGCTTACAAGGGGTCATTAAATAGGTTCCTATAGATTTCCAGCTCCCTAACATTCTACAATGGGATTTTAGCACTTTAAAATTAAAGTGACACCCAACTTTGTAAAAACAAAAAGTCACAAAATCAGTTTCTTTGTACGGCTGTTCATGACACTGAGTTTTTGAGACACACTGCTTTGATCTTACAGGAGAATCATGAGAAAGATTTCCATGGAGCCATCTGAGCGACTGGCCAGTCTCCAGGCTCTGTGGGACAGCCAGACCGTGGCCGAGCAGGGTCCATGTGGTGAGCATGCATTTTAAACCCCAAATGTAAATGGATGGATGGCCCCTCCTGCCAGGAAGTTAAGTCTATTCCTAGTATGCTACTGTAAAGGTACAATTAGTTTGAAGGTGTAATTAGTACACCACAGACCTAGATTGGTGGGCAAAAGTCCTATATTTACGCTGCATCGTCTCCTGCTCTGCGCTTAGTACAGCACAGGGGAGAGACCTTTCTGCTGTTTTCCCAAATGGAAATCCGGATTGCCTTGTAGACATCGGCCATATTTAAGCTTTTCAGTTAAATTATTAAAAAAAAAAAAAAATCCGCTCATAGAAAATTGGTTCCTTTTCTGTTTTATGCTTCAGGTGGATTTTCTCAGATGTATGCCTGTGTCTGTGACTGGCTCGGATTTTCGTACAGGGAAGAAGTACAATGGGTAAGTATTTGTTTGCTTACATATATACATATACTCACACACACATGCACACAAACTCACACACCTAGAAAAAATTCAATGGGCTTTGTTTACTTTTACTTTCTTTTCTCCCCATTATACCTGTCTTCATTTTAAACTGAAAATCTTTTTTCAGATGACATAAAAATCTGCCTATGTCATTGTCTAATTTTCTTTCCATCTCTTGCTTCCCCGATTGTCTACATGGATGGTTTACATGGCTGAATTATATTCCAAATAGGATGTGGATACAATCTATCTGACTCAAGACACCAGGGAATTGAATTTGCAAGACTTCAGTCATCTTGACCACAGGTAAGCTGCATCTTGCTTTCTTGTACTCCTAGTTGGTTTTTAGAGCTGCTTTTCTGACATTATCTCCAGTAAATTCTCTAATAAGGGGAAATCAGGAAATTCTGATTTTCTGGATTTTCTTTTTCAAGTAATTTGTTGTTAAATGCCACTGAGTTGGCTTGGACTCAGCGACCCATATGGGGTTCTCAAGGAGAGGCTGGTGAGCTTGAACCGCTGATGTTGTGGTTCTAAATAGTTTCAAATGTGTTCATCACAAGCAATGAATTGCAGAGGGGATGCATGTATGTTCCCCAACTCTAGGGTTCATAATTATAAGATATATTGAATTTTGCTACGGAAACTATAATTCCTACATTCTTTAACCAGTTCTCAAGAGTTAATCTCTTGTATATAACATGTAGCATTATTTCACCTAAATACTATTTAGAACATGTTTTCTGTCAGGGCATTTTATACTGAAATCCTAACAAATGGCCTTTATTTCCCAATTTCTTTGTGAACTGGGGATTGCTAGGGTATGCATGCTTGTATTTGTGGAAATTGGTTTGCCAGTACCTACCTTGTGATGGTGGTAATAAAGCCATGGAACTTATTATAAATTACTTGAACGATATTTGAGTCTTAAGATCGGGACTTTAATATATTTAGGGCTGCAGATGGTGTGATCAGACCCCTGCGCAAAGCTCCTTTCAGCTGCCCCTCCTCCCAGCAAGGACTAGACCTGTCAAATCTATTTAGTTCTCTAATGGAGTTAAGCCTTGGTCTTCGTCCAGGTTGTCTGCTCCAGTAATTTATCCTGGTCTTTTGCAATCTCCTCAACCATGGGTGTGTTGCTACTTACTCTAAGTAGTCAGATATCAACCCTACTGCCATGCAGTGATCCTGGTCCCTCTGTTTGGAAGTGAGAAGCAGAAAGCTGGGGTTCCATGTGTATCTTATGCTACTTGGACAATTGGCATGCCAGGGACAATTGCAGTTGTCAGTGTTGCTTCTTAACACCAGCATCCTGTCCCCTTAAAAACATTTTCAGTTTTTCAAAATACCTGGTATTCTAGTGAGAGTCTCAGAAGAGGTCTGGGCAAAGGAAACGCGTACTAATGGAGGTGTCTCCTTTCTGCTCAGCCTGAGTCTACAGAGGATGGTGAGGCAGGCTCAGCTGTGTCTGTTGAGCCTCAAGGCTCTGGCACTAACGTGGGATTTGCTTCCTTTTTGTGGAGCAGATGATTTTCTGTTGCTTAGATAAGGCCCTCTTCCTCTTCCTCCTCCTATGTGAGGGAACTTCACGTGCTCCCAACTTTAGACAAGATGCTCCCGGTGTAGCTCAAGAAAAAAGTGAAGTGAGAAACAAAAAAGGGAAAGTGTGTTTTTGTTTTTGTTTTTTTTTATGGTAAATATAACTCTTCTTATTCTTACTCTAATTTCCTCTGGTGCTTATATAGGTATAAAAATAGATATATATTCGCTTCCTCTCAAATTAATAAAACAATTAAGACAACTCTGTCAATCAAATAGATAAGTAAGGTATGATAAAGCTTAATTATCGTATTTCTACATCACATGGATCCATCACATACAAGCATCCTGTGTTGGTGATTATTGTTAAGAACCACAGAGAAGGAAACATTGTTATCAGATGTTGAAAAGCAATGTTTCAGACTGTAGTGTTGTGTGCTAAGGATGAGGTAAATAAATGTTGTGAACTTGTGATATATATCTTTCACCCCATTCAGTGCATTTTTAGCCACATTTATTTTTTTTTTTAAATTTCTGTCTCATTCTCTCTTCCCTTCTAGGAACTAAATGTATAGAAAACCTTCAATACTATTCCAAAGGACCCTAAGGTTCTGACAGTTTTTTTAATCTGCTTTCTATTCTTCAGATTTTATTGTCCTTATGCATATATCAAGTTCTGTATATTCTCTATACTGTCTTTGTTCTTTTACGACAGTGAATTTTTAATTTAAGGTATAAAATAGGGGTATTTTTCGTTCTGAAATTTCTATTTGGTTCTGTTGGCTGGTTTTTATTTTGTGATTATTTTTCTGTCTTTTCATTTATTGCAAAGGTTTTTTCCATCTGTCCTATTTTCCTTCCTTCCTCCCTCATGTCCTTGTTTCCTTCCTTCATTCTTTTTTCCTCTTAAATCCTCCTTCCTTCTGTTAGTTTTTTTTTTCCTTCTCTTCTTCCTTCCTTTCCATTTTATATCAAACATCATATAGTCATACATTGGCAACTATAAAATCTGAGATGATTACAACTCATACCAATCCTGTGCACAACAGAAAAAACCACTGCCCGCCCTGTGCCATCCTCACAATTGTTATGCTTGAGTCCATTACTGCTGCCGATGTGTCTGGCCATCTTTGGGGGGGGGGGCTTCCTCCTTTTTGCTGCCTCTCCAGTTTTCTAAGCATAATGTCTGGGAAAGTGTTTTCAGTCCTTTGTAATAATAATTTAAAAAGTCATGGTAGAATAATTTACAGTAAGGAGCCTTGGTATTGTAGTGGGTTATGAGTTGGGCTTTTAGCCACAAGATCAGCAATTCAAATCTACCAGCTGCTCTTCAGGAAAAATAGGAGGCTTTCTGCTCATGTGAAGACTTACAGCCCTAGCAACCCCATTCAGGGTCACTATGAGTCGGAACCGACTTGATGAAACACATCATCACCAAGCCATTGTGTCAGCTTTCAGTGTTTTTACAGTCTTTAACATTCATAAGCTTTTGTTTATATGTGTCATATCTGTTGATATTTACCAATTAGACATGAAAGCTAAAATTTCAAATAATAATAAAATGTTACAGTTGAAAGAATATGAATAACATGTTTGCCAAGTCAACGTTTTTCACATGTACAATTCAAGAGACCAGTAGATCAATCTTGTTGTGGAACCATCACCAACATCTGTTGCTGTATTTTTCATCCTCAGAAATTCACTGCGACTTAACCGAGATTTCTCTTTCCCCTTTCCTCCTGCCCTTGGTAACCAGCGTCAAACTAGAGCTCTATGCATTTGTGTGTTCTAAGTGTTGGATACCAGTACCACTGCCACCAGTCCATTCCAGTGCAGAGCAACCCTGTGTAGGGTTTCTGAGGCAGAAGCTGACAGCCTCATCTTTCTCCTGTGGAGCGGCTGGTAGGTTTGAACAGTTGACCTAGCAGTTAACAGCCCAACACTTGTCCTACAGCACCACCCAAAGCAAGCCCCTGCCACTGACTCTATTCCAACTCACAGCCACCCTGTTTAGGGTGTCCTTCTTCATTCTCCCAACTTGCTGCTGGTGGGTTGGAACCACCAACCTTGTGGTTAACAGTCCAGTGCTTATCCTTCAGAGCCACCAGAGCTCCTTTCATGTCACTGGGTACATACAGTGTTTGTCCTTTTGTGATTGACTTACTCATTCAGTATAATGTTTTCAAGGTTCATGCATGTTGTGGTATCTACCCGATTTTAATATTCATTTGAAAATAATGATCCTAAACTCATGATGGAGTCCTGCTGTGATGTTGTAGGATAAGCACTGGACTGGTAACCGCAGCATTGTGGTTCACACCCACCAGTTTTTCTTGGAAACACTATAGAGGGTCGATATAAGTTGGAACAGGCTCAAGGGAACTTAACAACAACAAACTCATTATATGCTAGCATAACATTTTTAGGGAAAAAAGTAAATATATTTTAAAAACAAAAGAGAAGTGGAGAGTCCCTAGTTTACTTTTATACAAGCTTCTTTGATGTCTGACATAGTAGAAAAGACAGCTGGGTTCTGCTGTCTGCTGCAGCTTTCCGTCCACTGTGATATGCTACTTTGGACAGAATCTAATATGAAGAAAATCCTGCCTTGTGCAGATATATTACTAGGAAAAAACTGGAATATTTTTAATAGCCTTTTCCCATAGTTATGGATACTCTGCCTTCAGCGGCATCAAAACTCCAGTAAGAGTGTTTTGTAAAGATTAGTTGCAATCTGGAGTCCTGGTGTGGCACTATGGGTTTAATGCACCAGACTGCAAAGCCATTTGAACTGCAAGGTCAGTGGTTCAAGCTCACCAGCCACTCCCTGGAAACCCTATGCAGGGCCGCTATGGGTCAGAATCGACTCGATGGAACTTAACAACAACAGTTGCAATCTGGCATCTGAAACCTCATCAGTTCTCTTGCTTGTTTCTTGTTCTATTAAGATCCGTTGGTCTATCTTGTTCTTTGAATAGATCTTACCCAGATATGATTTTATAAAATTGTACAATAGTCATTTGGAAAATATTGGGTCACGGTGTTGTACAGAGCTTCCTAATACTTTGCTGTTAGCATATAGCACTAGTTGGGGATGGGAGGAAAGAGTAAGCAAGAGAGAGAGACATTGGTTATTATCACTACTGGTCTTACCAAAAAAGTCCTTAAGTATTATAAAACTGTCAGACTTACAGTCAATTCAAGTATTACAAAATCTACATTTTTACTTGAAAGCTGTAATTTTTCTATTAGAAATAGATACTTGACAGTTGATGTCCTTGAAGTGACTAACACATTTAACATTTTAAAGAAAATATCTGCCAAGTCCCAAATCAGAATAACCATAGCTTGTCTGTCGCTCATTGTTTTCATCCTTCTCTTTGAACAAAGGAGAGATAGTCGCTTGCAACGCTAACAACTGCACAGATATTTTTCATTGAGACAGTTATCCCTTTGCAATATGTTGTCAAGGGCTGTGAAGTTGATTCTGACTCCTAGTGATCCTGTATAGGGTTCCCAAGGAAAACTGGTGGGTCTGAACTGCTGAGTTTGTGATTAGTAGGCCAGTGCCTACCGTTTAGCACCACCATACCGGGACTCCTTTGGTGTGTAGCAGAAGCATTTTATGTGCACTTTCCATTTTGTTCACTGAACCACTTTAAGAAGCTTGTACTCAACAAAGTCCAGGTGTGTGGACAATGATGGCAGGGGTCAGTGGTGGCTGTGCTGATGGTTACAGAGCCCAGAATGCAGAAGGAGAACAGACA